CGTCTTCTTTGGGGGATGATGAAAACGATAAGATATCTGGACCTCAAATCTTGGCACAAACAGTTAAGTGCTCATTCAGAAAGCATCCTATTTTTACATTAATTAACGCTGCTCGAGTGGTATACAATGCGGTTCACATCCATCGCATAGTGTTATGTGAACTATTTGACGTTCTCCTAACAGCACAGAGAAATATCTGCTTTTTCTTAGACAGAATACATGCAACATGTATTTTGGACAAATTGAACAAAAGTGTAATGGTTAGTGGGGCTCAAAATTATTCAAGAATCCTAAATGATCTTCGTATCCAAAATATACCCTCTCTTGAAATAGAAAATTTGAAGAAGACGCAATCTTCCGCCAAAAATGTACAAAAAATAATATTTTTACATGCTTTCTAAATATAAAAAGAACAGTTTAATTTTAGAGGCCGCAAAGATCAACGCAAAACATTCGTAATACTTAAGTAGTCTTTTTTGCAGAGTATAATTTTTGAGGGCAGCCGAGAAGGTGCTCCTTCTAAAGCCGGCATCCTGATGGGCAACCCCACGTAGGTAATCATTCCGAATCAACAGCCTATTCCGGTTAGCATTTCATGACATATCACATCCACTGTAAAAGAGAAATTGTACAACAGTAAAGGATCCGAAGAGTACGACCAACTTTAAGTCTTTTGACAATGTCCTAGCGTCTCGTCTCCGTCAGATAATTGAGCAGAAATGGGAAGGGTATGGGGTCGAGTGAGTTCTCGTGAGGTAAGGTGTGAGAGCTACTGCTATATAATTCCAATCGACACTGCTGCAAACGTCTTTGATTGCGTCATCTCAGGCAGTTTCATTATGCGAAGCAACAACAAGGTTCAAACATACAGTACTCAGAAAGTCGATTTCGGCTTGATGACTGTCGATATAATACATGAGTGCTTAGCTAATAAATGATGCTTAGTAAAGCAAACGGTGCCTGCTCTTTAAAAACGGTCGTTTCTCCAAGGTAGTATAACGTGCGGGGACGTGGGTTGGACAGTTTGCGCGCTACAAGGCTTTTCATGTGAAGTTCGTGAATTTGCATCGGATACGGACCGAACTGTAGACGCACTGGTCAAGCACTAACAGGGTTTGTACTTACGTTCTGGCTGTCAGCCGTCTGCCCTGATGACTGCGTGACGGAGTCTGAGTACTGCCATGAGTTCCTGTGACTAATAGCAAAGCGTATTGCTATGGTAAATACCTACTATTGTCCCACTACTGCCAGAAAAGTCTGCCACAAAAAATTGCTATAACCGCCTGACCACAAGTCGGGTGTTCGGCAGAAATGAATCCGGTAGCTATTACTACTGCATAGGCTACGGTCTGGAGTATTTAAAACACTGTATGCGGTTTCGAATTTCCTCACGACATCAGCAACCGAACATCGACTATGGTGGGGATATCAGCATACTGGCCCCAAGTTATCATGGTAAGCAGAATTTAACGTCGCGGGCGAGTGAGGCCGCGAAGTTACCCACAAAAGTGACATTAACTCACTGCTGGCCGGATTAAAAGGCAACCCTCATGATTAACAACAAACACCTTGAACAGCTAGATTCAGATACATCGCCATCATAGTTGTTGAATAACAGAGCCTATGGACCCGACGCGATATTCCTATCCAACAAAGATCCGCGTGTTCCGAGCATTTGTGCGGGCCGTCCTTCTATACGGATGCGAATGTTGGACTCTGCGCGTGCATCTGTGCGATCCGTTCTCTTATACGGATGCGAATGCTGGGCTGTGCGCGTGGAGAGTGAACAGAAACTGGAAGTCTTTGACCACTACTGTCTGATGGACCATCCTTCGAGTGAAGTACACCGACTTCGTCTCCAATGAGACAGTCCGCACTCGCTGTGACAAAATCACAAGGATATCCTAGGCCATTCAGGAAAGACGGCTGAGGTGATTTGGACACGTTCC